TTCATTACTGTTTTATTAATAATTCCACGTATGATACACAATTTTTTATATTATTTTCATATTTATCAAAAAGAGTTGAGAAGTTTTAATGAATAGAGTCTAAACTGACTCAAAAGATAATAACAAAACTGATATTTGGTTATATTGGTTTTTAATAATTTAGTACGTATGTCTTTTAAACAGTTTTAGATATTCAATCAACTTAAATTCTTTATTCTCATATATTAAAAAGAAAGAATTCTCAGGATGAAATAAGTGACTTAAAGAATTAACTAAAAAAATTAAGAGTCATTACATTTGGTTAACACTTTAAATATTCAAAGGTTATTATCATATTATTCTAATTGATATTAAAGAATATAGAACTTACAAGCAGTAATAACTAAATAAAAGTTTAATGTTCTTCTTCTGAATTAACTCAAAATATTCAGTTTTTCATATATTTTAAATTATTCCAAATTCCATAGATATTAATTTGATATTTTATTAATAATTTTACACAAAAATCTTTGGAGATAATAAAAATGAATAATTTAAGTTATAATGAAGAGAAAAATAATCATAATAATATCAAGCTCTTTGGATAAACAATCACTTCTTTTTCTTAAATTTTGATAATTTTTTTTATTTAGAAGAGAAATATTCAAACTCACATAACTCATTTATTTTACAGTAATCAACAAACTAATTAGAATTAATATGAATAAAATTGAGATACAATTAATGTATTACCTGTTTAATTCCTTAATAAAACTGTTATATAAAACAGAAGAAGTGACTTAATGAGGACAAAACAATTTTTTAAATGCAGGAAAAATGAAAAGGAAAAATGAAAGTAACTTGATTTGAAATAAAGTGTAAAATGACTGAGAAGTGTAATGCCCCATTAATTAATGTAGTTAATAATTCAACTCAAAGAAAACTACCACATTGTCAATATGTTGGAGTTTATAAAAGAAGAAAGTTTGAAGAGAAAAAGATAAGTATTATAACAAATAAATTAAAACGAAGAGTTTTAGTCATTGGAACAAAAGAAATTGATTTAGAGACAAGTGTATTAACATTAGACTTGAATGAAGAACATATTGAAGAAGAAGATGCTTTATTATGTTTTCGTATTATATCAAATAAAATTTATATTTTAAAATTTGATAATTGTGAAGACTATGTATATTGGATGGAACAAATAACTGAACTAGCTACAGTATGGGGAATGTATGGAATTCCTTTAAAACATGCTATAAAAAAGTCACAATGGAGAGTTCCCCTTCCTATATTCAGAGCAATGCAATACTTAGAAGAACATAAAGGAGATAAGTATGTTGGTATTTTTCGGATGAATGGTGGTACGGCAGAAATGAAGAAAATTAGAACACAAGTTGATGGAGAAAAAGATATTGATCCAATGGATTTTTGTGATTGTGTTTTAGCTGCAGCAGTGATTAAAGATTATTTAAGATTATTACCAAATCCACTTATTCCATATAATTTATATGAAGAATTTATTGAATTAAGAAATAATCATTGTGGTCATCAATTTGTGATTAATTTACCATTAGAAAATCAAAATACATTATGGTATATTTTCTCCTTTCTTCGTCGTGTTTTAGAACAACAAGATATTAACAAAATGAATATTGTTAGTATAGCAACATGTATTACTCTTAGTATTTCAAGAAAACCACCATCATCAAAAATAAGTGATTTGGAACATTTAGATTATGCACATGAATCAGTAGAATATTTATTAGAAAATTTTGATGAAATATTTCATGAAATTACAACATTAAATGAGATGGAAGGGATGGCTCCACCATCTTATCCAATAATTTTTGATGGATTACATAGTAAATCTTCTAAGATAACTAGTTCAAAGAAACAAGAAAAAAAGAATTTTAGAAAATCATTCAAATTACCATTTAGTAGAAATTCTCTTGGTATTAATTTAGATTTATGTCATAATACTGATGTTTTTAAATGTAAAACAGACCGACCAACATGTTATACTCAACAAGTATCACCACGTTCTAAATTAGGAGAAGTAGTATCAACACATATTTTATCTTTAAAAAAACCACCAATATCATTAGATTTTGTAAGTGAAAATTCAGAATTAGCAAGTGTAACTGGAGAAGAAACAAAACCATTGGATGAAAGAGAAACAAAATCTATTGGAGATCGTGTTTTAAAAAAGAAACCATTTAGTTCTTCTAATAGTCCTTCATCATCTTCTTCTACAATACAAACTATACAAACACAAGCATCAAGTGAAATAGGACAAGAAAGTTTAAATGAAAAAGATGACCAAGATGATGTTAGGTCATTAAAGAAAATTATTGCTCTGAAAGACAAACAAATTTTGGAACTTCAACTTCAAAATAAAATTCTTCAAGAAAAAATATATCAACTAACATCAGGCTCAACTACTATAAGTGGTGAACGTTCTAATTAATAAATTGTTTATTTTAAAACAGTTATATCTCTTTTAAACAAAAAAATATAAATTACATTCTTTCTAATGAATAAATACACTTTAAATTTATCAATAAAACAAAGTTAAAAAACCCTTGTGAATTTATAATTCATAAACAAAACTAATTTAATGAATAAAACTCAATTTGAAAAATATCATATTTATGACATTTGTTATTATTGTGAATTGAAAAGCATTCATTTATTATCATTAATTAATAAGAAATATCATACCACTATTACAAATTCATTATTTGCTTTTGATACAAATAATTGTTCATTTAATCAAAATGCAAAATTATTTGAAGGTGATTTTATGAATTTATTTTCTTGTTCTTTTAATTCTTGTGACTCTTTATCAATATCAATTGGTAATAACAGTTCACTCATTAACCAATTGAACACTTCAGAAGATGAAGATGAAATAGAATTACTTCCTGATACAAAAGAAATACCTCCAATAGATCCTGAATTTGATCAATTAATGCAAAAATCATTAAAACCAATTAAATCAAAAGTTCATTCATTAAAAGTATTTTTACCTACAAAATGTTTAACATCATTTAAATCATTCATTTCATTAGAAAAATTAACTATTTCATATGATTTATTATTCACAACATTTCCAACATTAAATCAAGGAAAAGTACCTCAATATCTTCAGAAATTCCCATTAACATATTTTTGTATTAGTGATGTACCACTTCCATTATGTAAAGAAATTAATCAAATCTTTTCATTAATAGACCATTACTGCAAAAAAGTTATTATTCCATCAAAAACATTATTTACTATTGAACTTCTTGAATTACTTCAAAAAACTCCAAATATCATTTTCTTTATTCATCAATTTATTCATCAAAGTCTTATTGAATATCTTCCATCAAATGTTATTATTCATCCATTAATTGTTGACCAAATGAGTCAGAAATATTCTGGTTATAAAGTTAATTTTACCTCTTTTTCTAAAAAATATTTCCCATTCTCTATTTCATGTCAACATGTTCATTCAATCTATTCAACAATGTATTTATATGCTAATGGTGAATTACCATCTTTTGTATCTTATAAAGATCTTCTTTCTTTAAACTTAAAAGAAGATAAAACAATTAATAAAATTAATTATGATTTAACACCTTTTAAAGCTTTAACTTCATTAACATTAACTGCTCAAGAACGTATTGACAGAAAAGTCCAATTACCATCACAATTAAAAGAACTTCATATTGATTGTTTTATTCATTTAATTTCTCATCTTAACCAATTACCAAATGGATTAACAGCATTAACATTAAGACAAATAGATTCTCCATCAATACACTTACCATTAATGATTAAAAACCTTCAACTTCGATGGTTTAATAAATGTACATCAATTGATAATTTACATGAATTAAATGAATTAACAGAATGTGATATTAAAGGAATGGCAGTTAAAGAACTTTGTTTTTCTTATTCTTTAATGAAATTATCTTTAATGTCATGTCACAAATTAGAATCAGTTAATGATTATGATTTTATTTTTGATCTTAGACCAATTGTACAAGACTGTCCAAAAATATTATTCAATTAAATTATTTATAATTGATTTCTTATTCTATAAAAAGAATAGACTTCAATCCCATTCCCATAGGCTCTTTCATAAATGCATCTACTCCAATGTTAGGACTATTTAAATAATGTGAATTAAATGACATATTCAATGAACAAATCTCTTCAAGTGTAATTGTATAGAAATATCCAATTTCAAGAATCGTTGATTTTAATTCATCATCATCTTCCATAAAATCAGCAATCATTAATGAATAATGATTATTTGAATCAGCTTCATATTTTCCTTGTATTCTATTTTTGTTTCTTAGTGCAAAAACAAAATGTTTTGAATCATCAACCCAAGTTCCAAATTGTTGTGGAACAAGATGATGATAACTTCCAAATACTTCTCCATTTTCTGTTTCTAATAAAATAATAATATCTGTTTTGTTCTTTAAAATAGATAAACAATTTTCTCTTGTAAATGTTTCTTTTTTATTATTAAAAAATACATGTAATTTTTGCTTTCCAGTCCATTGGAGTAATAATGATAATTCTTGTTCATTTAAATTACTTATTAATTCATTAGAATCTTCAATTTCCATTGGAACAACTGAAATACCTTCTTGCATTGCTTGATATGCAGCAATAAGTTCATTAGAACATTGTGTATATCCTTTTGGTTGTATGTCATTAGAAGGATTATTCTCTTTGTTTTCTTCTTTATTAATGGTTTCATTAATAGAACAAACATCTTTTATGGTAGTTTTATTTGTTCTTTCCTCAAGTAAAATACGTTGTAATTCTTCATTTGAATTTTTCAACTCTTTTATTGTTGTATTAAGAAGCTCTTTCTGTTGTCGTAATTGATTAATTTGTGCGTCCTTTTCTGAAGAATTAATAGATTGTTGTGCATTACTAACTGGAACAGTTTTTGAAGCACATTCATTAATTTTAGGTAATGAACAGAAATTAAGTGTTCCATAGTTTTCAATCTTGTTGATAGAAATGGTACAAGCCATCCTCTTGGTTCTTGTAAAACCAGTTCTGGAATGAGATCGAATGGTTATAATCATCTTTTTGATATGTTTAATAGTAAAAGAAACTACAATAATAGTAAAATTGAATATAAGAACTAGATAATGAAAAAACCTAGTAATGACTGATACACACCAATCATGGATTGATATGGCTACAGAAACTGATGTTGCTATCCAACAACCTGTAGTTGAGAAGGTTGAAGAAACACAAAAGCCACAAGAAATGACATATTATAAAGAAAGATATGGAGAATCTGATTATGTATTAATGTTTTGGAATCCAAGTCAACCTCTTGAACAATGGATGATTAAAGACTTATTAGAAGGAATTGATGTAAAAGCTAGAGGAATTAGAGTAGGTAAAACTGGAAAGTGTTATGCTGATTTTGAAAATGCTGAAACACTTGAACGAGTAAAAGAACTTGATGGAAATTCAGTAGGAGATATTGTCATCACTATTTCTGCTGTTCCACCAAGAGATGACTCACAAAAGAATTCATTCAATAAACCAAGAAGAGATGGAAGAGAGCCAAGAGAAGAAGGTAATGAACAAAGAAGAAGAGGTAGAGGAAATAGGGAAGGTGGATCATACAGAGAAAGAAAAGAAAACCAAGAAAGAAAGGAACGTGGTGATGGAGAAGAACAAGGACATAGAGGACGTGGTGGATATAGAAATAATTATAGAAATGGAGAAAAACGAGATTATAAACCAAGACATCATTATGGTAATGAACAACAAAAAGAATCTACAAAAGAAGAAGTAAAATCAACAGGAACAACTCCTCAAGGAACAACAGTTGAATCTAAACCAATTGAACATAAGACTGATGTTAAAGAAATTCCAGCTCATAATAACTCTGAAAAAAA